TTCCCACTGGCCAACTTGATCATTCCTTGTGAAATTCAAACAACTTCTTTAAAAGATGAAATGCTGAGATGATATTTTGCTGCGATTTCCTGTCCGAGGTTTTAACTAATGTGTAATTCTAAGGTACTGTATGACACCAGAGGCAGAAAATTATTTAGCCTACTGATGGAAAAGTATATAAAATATAAATCTATATCAAAATGTATATATAGATTACTTCTTTGTGCTTTCTTCAGCTTTTGAAGCCCCACTCCTAATTTTACATTTATTTTGTGCAGTAACTTCCTGTGACAATGCTAAAACCAGAGGGCTTACTTATGGAATGTCCAGCTGCCTCCACGGTCATTAATTAAAAGTGCCCACTTTTGATGGACAGCAGGGTAGAAATGGTTTAGGAGCTACCTACTGTGTCCATAGTATTAATCTTGGTTTGGTTTTGGCACAGAGCAAGCTCATGCCAGCTGCCTACAAGGAATGATTCCTCACCTTACACCCGCTCAAAGCAGACCTGCTGTTGTTTGGGAGAGTGTTATGTGGCCACCATGCCACACACCCTGGGCACTTCTAACAGTAAAACTATGTGAACCAAATTCTAGAGCTTGGAAATGCCTTGTGTTACTTTTTAATTTACTAGGATAGACAATAACTACCCATATCCTATGAAGACCTTTCTTCAGATGTCACTTACTTTCAGAAGAACCTAAGGACAATGGTTGGCATTGAATGAATGTGTCTGAGTGATAATAAGGCAAGCTCCTTTGGATAAGGACAAACTACTTCCACATTTCTACTACGATTTTGAAAGATAGAGTGAGAATGAGTTCAAGATCCTTGTAGAAACCATTTCACTTAATTATTAAGTCAGTCTTTGCTGCATGATTGTAAAGCATGCCCTTGCAAACTGACAGGACCATTTCTGTGACACCTGCAGTGACTGTGACCTGAAAGAAAAAAGGAACTAAAGCAAAAATTACTGTTTGCAATAGTCTCCTTAGTACAAGATTTCTAAATCAATTTATATCTCAGTGCAAGGATATGGCTGAGGGAAGATAAGCTGTGCCTGAGAGAATGACTACAATATGGGAGTGGAAAAAATTTCCTGATGAAAATCTCCATAGACTACAGTAAAACACAAAACCCTTTCTTAATCCACTGAGAAAAATAATTTGCCTTTTATTGTTGTTCCTTAGAAGGTGCCATGTGATCTTTCTGTGATTTATTTCTTTTGAGCTGAAAAGTTAATTTTACAAGCAGATATTTGTAGGAGTCTTGTATGAAATTATGGGACAAACCATAGCATTCTATGGTGAAGGAAAAGTCTGAGAAACAGATTTTTAAGAATCAGAAGCGCCCTGTAATTAATATATTCTTCAGGATAACTGCAAAGATAATGTACAATTGCAAATGATCAGTGACCATAGCTTTCATAAATGTGCGGATTTCCTAATGTAATCAAGCTAGATTATGTAATCAAACCTTGGATAAATAGCTTTGGTATTTCTCACAATTACAGTCTTTAATAGTTTTTTCAAATTGATGTCATTACATTTAAAACTTTTTAAACTGATTACTGCTAATCTGGAAACAGTGATCAACCCATCGTCAACTAAGAAATTAAATGCCCTTTTTTATTAATTAGTAGTTGGTTTTTTCAGCTCATAGAAGTTTGTGGTTTGCTTTTTTTAAAAAAAAAAACAAGCAAAAATATACATTAAAATGAGAATGTGACTATTTGCTGAAACATTTAATGTGTGTTTATGTAAATATTAATATTTAGGGTTATAGTATATATATTATATTATATTATATGTATTATATAAAGAAAAGCTGACTGTGTAAACACAGGACATTTTATTTTATAGAATGGGCTTCTATTAACTCAGGAATATTATCTGTGAATGTGTTATGTAAAAATCTCCTTATGATGCAGGTGCAAAACTGCTTCTTATTAAAAAACTAAAATATCACTGTAGGCTAGTAGCAAAGGAATGGCCACACCTCACTTTTGTACAGCAAAGAGCAGCATATTGGAACAAGGTTGTGGAAAATTCCAACCTCCCACAATGAAACAAAGTTAGAGTTAGTCCTGCCAAACCCTTAGGTTATACAACACAAATAGGAAAATAATTAAATAATTATTATTTCATTTAGTAACACTGGTTGTAACATACGTGATGTACAGGATTTGACATTAGAATCAATGTTTTTTTAAGTGGTTTATATATGGAATAAATCATTGAACAATACAAGTAACTGTACTGAAATCTGTACCCTCCACAATGGCATTTGTTGAACGTGATTTAAAAAAAAATCCCCATACAAACTAAAAAGACCAATGTTTGCAACTGGTTATATAAGAACTGATGGATTATTAAGGAAAAGAAACAAAAAAGCATTGGCAAGTATTTTCAGCAACAAGATCCTCAGATAAATCAAAGTTGAATTCAAATGCTTTTTCACTAGCTTTTGGGGCTTTTTTGTCCTTCTTCTAAAGCCTTTATACCTATCTGAGAACCAGCTGCTCAGGGTCACCCATTCACAAATGTCTGAAATGTGCCTGGCCTGTAACAAGGTCTCTAACAAACTACACAGTGACAGCTGATGTTGCTTGTATAACAAACTGGCCATTTGAGATAGCTTTGACCTCTGCTTTGGATTCAGATCCAGTCCTGGCTGACTGAAATGCTGGATCACACTTTGGCTTATATGTGTACACACACATATAAAGGCAGCTATGTAGTTAAACATGTTTGTTTATTTTGTTGTACATTTTCATTTTTTTCTTCATTACAGCTCATTTATTCCCTCATAGTGCTTCTTAAATAGTATTTATTTTCCACTTGCCTTGTTACACTGTTAGGAGGAAACACTCTTTCTGTTTTGTTTATTCCTGCTTCTTCTCCACTTCCGTTTTCTTATTCTTTCCTGAGACAATGGTATTTTACTCATAACTGTGATTCACAGACTTGGAAAGTACCTCAGTCATGAAATAAAATCCACCAGTGTTTGGATTAACTCAAAGACTTTAATGTAAAAATATAATTTTATAGGAATTATTATAATTGAGATCTATCACACCAAAGGTATGATAGAAAATATTCATAGAGAGGATGAAGATCAGCTTTTATTTTTGTTAATATTTTTAATAGTTATGCTGAAAAATACAATTAAGGATCAAGATCCACTGTAAAGAGCCCTGCAAGAACTGACAGTTTGAGCTTACAGCCTCATGAATACTGTGACTTTAATAATGCTACTTGTAGCCTTAAAAAGACCTAGATATATTTCTTCTAGCACTCACTTTATTGTTTTTCCCATTATAATCTATATAAAGATGCAACTGCTAGAGAATTTGATATGAGTCTTGGGGAATTTGCATTAAAATACCTGCAGTGACCCACCCAGAAGGCAGGGAGTTTCTGTAGTTCTTTCATTTTTTGAGTATTTTTAAAGATCTGAAACAATAGGAAACTTATTTCCTCATTACTCACTGAAACCTACCTGATTCCCAGCTATCTAAGATAATTTTCATTTTAAAAATTTTTTAAGTATAGACATTCAAAACCTATTCCTTAGATGTATTTATGACACAAAATTTTGACTTGTGAAGACAGCAACAGCTCCCAAATCCAAAAAGATTTAACTTACAGAGGAGCCAATAATTTGTAAATTATTACCTGAGTGAATAAATAGTTACTATGTCCTCTTCAATACAGCTAGTGGCAGCTTTTTTTGTGGTACCAGTTATTTAGGCTAATTGGGGGTCTAGAAAGAGCATTTTAATAGAGGTAAAGCACAAGGCTAATTAGTAACCTTGGCAAGAGAGCAAGCCTGAAGCTGTTTTAGAAATAAGAGCATTTGAGTAAAGCTTACGTCGGTGGAAGAGAGACATAAATATTAGTATTTAATATATAGATTTTATATATAAATGCTACTCATGATTTTGAGATTCATTGATGTTAGCAGGATTATTATTTTTGGTCTTGTATATTAGACCCTATACTGTATAGCTATCTAATCTTTCAAATGTCATCCCAGTTCTTTCTTCTTCACTTCGTTATTTTTTAAATTGTTCTCAGTTCTTTTTGTGATAAATACAGTGTTTTCTCATGTGTGCTGCATGCCTGCAAGCACATTTTGTTTCCCTGTTCTTTTTTATTCCTTTGGCAAGAAAAATAGAAAAACTTGACAAGGAGTCCCAGGGCTTCTTGGAATGTGTTAAGGTGTCTCTTTTTCTCTGGGAACAGCCTCCTTGACTTTCTGCCAACACCTTTGCAGTTTTAAAAGCTTGTGAGTGAAGTGTCGTGTCCTAATCTCACAGAGAGAATGGAAAGGGGTAGCTTCACATCAGAAATGCAGGGCCTAGGTATTCACCTTTTTGGGGCGAGGGGCTGAGTTGCACAGAATGTGGCTATGAACACAGATGATGCAGAATAATCAGACATCTTTTTGAGATTATTCTTGTATAAACACAATATTACAAGAAAAAATCAGGATAAGCAGACATCACAAGAAATAATACGGGTTTTTTTCTGTCCTTGAAAACTGAAACAGCTAGTAAGGTGAATGTGGTTGTGTATTGAAATTGACAGTTTCAAAAAGAAAGAAATAACATAGGCCATAAGAATATGTTCATGCATATTAAAACAAAATACTGCCTTATTGTGCTTGGTAAGTCTGCGTGCTCAGCTTTTTCTAATTCATCTGCCATGGACTGTAAAATAAAATTGACCTTTAGTCTCCTTGTAATTAGATTAACACCCATATTTAAGAATACAATCATGTATTAAAAATAGTCAATTTTATTTCATCTCACTGTGCTATTATCTGTCAGAATCCCCGACGCTTTATCTAATGATTAATTTAGAAGGAATATCTCTTCTCAAGCATATAGGATACATCACTAGGCCCCTTTTTCAGAGCCAGCCCACTATACAGGTACAAACATATTTCTCCCTTCAGCTGCTTCCAGGCTCAGCCACCTGTCTCTTTTCTTGCAGAATGATTCCTGGGGAAAGCAGTATTCCTATGCACTCTTCAAAGCCATGAGCCATATGCTCTGCATTGGTTATGGAGCCCGTGCCCCTGTCAGCATGTCCGACCTGTGGATAACCATGTTGAGTATGATCGTGGGGGCTACTTGTTATGCCATGTTTGTTGGTCATGCCACTGCCCTCATTCAGTCTCTGGATTCCTCACGACGACAATATCAAGAAAAGGTAATGCATTTTCTCATAACTCCTTAAGTTCTGAAACAGATTAATGGAATGGTTTAACTGTGGAAAAGGCTGTATGAGTTTATATGAAATAATCTAGTAGTGTCTGAATCCTGTGGCAGATGTCATTGAACACAAAGGAATTCAGAAGACTCCATAAACTCAATATATTTCTCCATGAATCCAGTTTCCTTAGAAAGTAAAATATTCTCAATGTTCAACTTCCTTTAAACTCTTCCATGAAAACTCAATTTCCCTGGTTCAGACTGTGCTTTGTACCCCCATGCTACACTCTGTAGGTACTTGATCTAGGTAGCTTGGAGCAAGGGCCTTGAGCTTGATAGCATGGCCATATCTGTACAATTTTCTGTTATTCCTTTGGAGTGCAGTTCAGGGATCACCTAGAACATGTCAAAAGAATGTCCTTTAAATGACAATGAGACCAAATCAATTAGTTTAATTTGTAACTTCCTCAGAGAAGTGCTCAGAAGAGGCCTTCGTTTGCCTTGTAACAAATTGCCTTGTATTTTTTACATGCGAATCCATGACCTGTAAGGTTCTCTCCAAGGTTAAAAAGAACAGTGGCCAAAAGGTAGAAAAGTAGAGAGAAATTGGTAGAAGCGAGTTCTTTATGAAACAGGAAGAAATAGGTTGTTTGAGTCCATGTAAGTAAGACTGGAATTAAAGCGACAGGAATGGGTACAGGGTGATAACTTTCTGTAATAAGTAGTAATTAATGCTGTCAGTATAATAAAAATCAGAGACAAATGTGAATGAAGGTATGAAACTAGGAGTTAAGACTAGGAATGGTGGCCTAAGGAAGAAAGGATCAGAATGAACCTCAGCCAGGGACAATAAGGATGTGTGGAATTACTGAGGTGCTTAAGAGATGACAAAATTTGCTATTATGGAAAATGGGAAACTGGACAGGCCATGCCAGGGGAGAGGTCAGCTGAGCAAAGTAGTGAAATCAGAGTTCACATCAAAAAAGAAGAAACACAGCCTGAGCAATAGTATTTGGCATATGTCCATAACAAAGGCCAGAAAGGCAAACTAGGCAAAAAACAGTGTGATGTAACACACACCTGGGGGAGAAACCTGGCAGATAGAGAATAGAGAAGAGAGTGACCCTGGCATATGCCACGTATGAAGAGAAATGACCTGAATTTGCTGGACAAGAAGGAGAGAAAACTGAAAAAAATATTTGGGTTGGATGGATCGGGGCATTTTCTTTACAGGCAGGCAAAGAGGAAGGAAGTGAGAGCATGTGGATGAAAAAACAGTTTACATTCAGTTTTGTTAAGCTCAAATTGCAACATGACCATAGGCTCAGTATATGAGAAACAGGAAGAGGTAAGGGATGAGCTGTATATTCAGTGACAGAAAAATTAGCTTGTGGCTGACAAAACAGCTGTTCAAAACAGAAGTTTGCAAGCAGGAAATTTCACACACTGTAGTATCATGAAACATAAGTGAGAATGAGCAGTTTAGAAAGAGAGGATAAGTGAGCATTAAAATCTCCAAAAATCTGAGCTGTCGGTGACCATATGAAACCCCCTTATTTCATCTCCATATAACGTCAAGGGCCAATCCATGTAACCCAACTGGCTCATTGGGTCTATTCTGCCAAGTGAAAGGAAAGTAATTTTACCCAAATGGGACATTTCTAGGGAGCTGTGGGACAGAAACATTATAAGAAGGGACATGAAGTATAACTACAGCTTCATTAGAGTTTAGGGTGAACATACACACACACTATACACAGATGTATGAAATAGAAGAAATGTCACTATCCACCTAAAAACTCATCTTAGTTGTTATCCTCAGACCTTGTTGGCTGCAGCATGGTATCATAATATTTTGAGCATAAGAAATATAATACATATGTAAATATATCCATATATTGTAAACTGTGCAGAGTAAAGCCAGTTTCATTTGCAGTTTTGGTGTAAATTAAAACCCAGTAGCAGTCAAGCAGTATTGCATTTCTCATGTTTTCTCGTTAACAGCAAGCAAAAGTGTTCATTTGTTTGTTCTCTGATTTTATAGACACACTTTATTAAACACTAGCATAGAAATATCTGGCATTTTTTAATTCCTTAGATTCTCAACATTTTTATTCCTCTTTTTAGTTTTACTTCTTACTTGTTTCCTGACTTCAGAGGTAAAAAAATAGCATGTCATTGACAATCAAAAATGTAAGAAATGATCCAGAAATTGCATGTTTCTAGGCTTTAGAGAAATGTTTCTCTTTTGCTTGAAGCCCCTTGTAAGCTAGTTATTATGGACTAGAGCTAAAGGATGTCTTAATTAAAGAACTTTTTTTCTATTGAATTCTGAGACCCTGAAATTATACATATAATATCAGCTATAACAACTATACAGTCATGTTTGTATATTCTTAATCATTGCTTTATCAGAGTCAAATCATATTTGGAAAGAAATTTTTGATTATAGGCTAAGAATTTTAAGCTATTTCTATATATTGCTAATGAGCGTTTTATATTTGTCTTTACTCTGCAAACTAGATAAATAGGTATTTCAAAGATCAGTTTATGCTACCCATTTTATTGGCATATTTTCTAAAGTATTGGCAGATAAAAGTTTCTTATGTTTCACTTATCTGAGATTTGAGAAAAAGGTAAATCAAATCCCCAGCCACTGATTTCAGAGTTTTAATATAAAACATTATCTATTTTTTACCTAATGAATTGCTTTTATTTTTCATCTGAAATTAAAAAATCAGGAGAGTTAGACTTGTTTTGATTTTTTGAGCTTAAGTTCTAAGATCAACTTCTTTTTTTAGACATATATATCTGTGGTTGTGTATTTCTTGGCTCCACTATTTTTCTTATAAGAATTACAGAAAATAATGTAATTAGCACGAATTGCTAGGCAACATAGAATGATAGTGGAGGTGAAGAAAGAGGTTGTTATTTGATTCTTCTCTGAATAACATCATAAATGTGTCTGTGAAATATAACTAAAAGAAAAGGAAAGTTATTGTCCTTCTCATACTGAAAGCAGCTAGAAGTGAAATATTAGCCAAAATCTTCCTCATTCAGATCCTTCCAAAGCTCAGGGTATGCAAAACTAGAACAGGCATAGTTCAAAATGGAAGAACTAAGCACAGGAAGACAAGAGAGAGTTTTCATGAAGCCAAATAAGTCAAACACCATCTAAGAGTTTGACCTGTCCCAAGGGTTGCATGCTGAGACAAATAAAAATAAAAGGAAGCAAATATTGCTCCTCATATTTACTGTTATGGGCCAAAGACATAATTTATAAGAGTAATTATAAGCCATCAAATGTAGAAGATGGGCAATAAAATTGTACACCTTGAAGTGGTACAAAAAAGAATGCATTGATACATTCTAGTCACTCTGAGGAAGTTCATATTTTTTTCTACTGAAGTAGTGAAACTGTTCTCACAGAAAAAAATACCTCTCAGATTTAATACATACCTCAGGTCTTGGTATCAGTTTGTGAAGGCCTAATACCTGACAAAGGAGAAAGATGTCCAAACCAGGTATACTCAAGCCATATTCTCTCTTCAGTAAGAAAGTCTGACAGACCATTCTACCTTATAAAAGGACTGAATAAGTCAATAAATCAATGACATCTTAGCACTCTCCTCCCTGGCTTTGATGTAAGTCAAAGATGAATGCAGTAGCAACTATAAGTTATTTTTTAAGTGACAACAGCTCTGACATTTTTTAACATCTAAGGAGTTATCACATCTCAAAGATATTTGCCTTTGCAAAGGTAATGTTTATTTGAAAGAACCAGAAATGTGTATGCAGAACTTGTTAACAGTCTAGTGTGAAACAAAGAAGGCAAAATGAACAGTAACTTGACAGGGAGGTGAAGATCATTAGTTAAATATTTCTTCCTTTAGATGTTGGCAGTTCTTAATAGGAAGATGTTCTCCTAATGCTGTGAATGTCATTGAATTATCATGATTGAAGACAGGTTAATATTTTCTCTGTTCCAGTCTGTCATGAGCATAAAGTATCCAGGGACAACAATCTAAGAGAGTCAAGATTTGTAGTAACATACCGATTGTCTCTAAGCTTAAAGATTTTTAAACTGGTTTTAAAGAATATCAGGTATTAGCTGGGGGTGTTTTATTATTTTAATTAATTTTAGTGATCCATTTTCATTATGTATATTTTGGTTTTTTTCTAGTAGTACTTGAGCAACCAGACAAGGTCTCAAAAACAGAAAAAGAATCAAACCACTTTTAGCAATTGCAAGTAATATAAGAGGCATAACAAATGGTTAATTCAACCATATACATATGAAAGGAAATGTAAAAAAAATTACAGCTGGCTCTGTATAGTGGATGCTGTCACAGTCATGGGAAGGTATGTTAAATCATCATTAAATCTGTGAAAGAATTCTGGGTAAGACATCAACTTCCAATATCCCAAAGGACATCTCCTCCTAACTCCATAATCTGCTTTTATTTTACTGCCTTATTTATGGTCTTTTAGCACATCTTCAGCTAAATAAGTCTAATTCAAAAGGAGAAAAAGACCTAAATATACTTTTATACAGAGAACAAGCAATTAATTGCATATAAAGTTAATTTAAAAGCAACCAGTAAGTTGTAAGTAGTAAGCAACTACTACACAATTGTGTGGTGGTATATATTTTTACATAGACAACATAGGGATTTGAAGCTCAGACTGCTCATTTTTCACTTCATAATTATCTGAAAAAATATTTAAAAATTACTAACAGAGCTAGGGCAGGAGCTTTAGATTTTGCAGTGCAAGGCTTTGCCCCAGCTTTTCCAGTCTGTCCCTCACAGCTCCAGTTTGGAGATCTAAACTGTTCATGCAGTCCATGAAGAGATACTTGATACGCACTGCAAGATGCAGTAAGCTCTTGGGGTGCTTTGGACAGCCTCCGGGAGGCTGTGGTATGTACTTGATCACTTTGTGCAGTGAGAAAAATGAGGTCCTCCCTTTAAAAACTGGGAAGAGAGACCACCTCTT